ATAAATAACTAAAATTAATTACGGAGTTATTAGTATTGCGATATAAATTTAAATTATCGTAATCACTACAGAAGGCTAGGATCATGCCGCAACCTAACGGCCGACTATACTCGCGTATATATCTGATTCTCCTTCTCGGCGAGTGTGCCACACGACTGACATTCACCGGTAGGAACACTACTCGCTGATTAAAGAGTCAAACAGACACGGGGCCAGCCGTTAGATAGCATCTTAAACACCCGCGATGCTAATTGTTCCATTAATAACGCCGCGCGCATTAACATTCACGGGCGGCGATAAATATTGTTGCGAGACAACCAGTTAAGAATCCCCTTTTCCCCGCGGCGCGAAATGCCGTACATACGTACGTAACACATCGTGCACACGCTTTTATCATCGATAATGCCGCCTAACTGCTTAACCTTTTGAGCACGATACATCGGCACCTACTATAATATCTAAGAAAGCCGAATGTCCGATATATCGACAATCTCTCTTTTCTTATTTTTGAGTAGCTTGAGCCTTTATTTGATTTGATTGAACTTTGAAAATATATAGGAAATACAACAATTTATATGAAAACATGTACAATGAAACTAGCGAATGGGGGATTAATTTAAATAGCCGGATTTAAACAACCGGCTGATAATTGGATCATAAGTCACACTTGCTCATTTTCATGATCTGAACACAGGTATACTTTACCGGATTAATTTCATTGTACAATCTTCATTGTACAATTTTATATTAGACTTACGCACGCCAAAACTGATTTTCCTTTTTTTCTTTTTTTTTTTTTGTTTCGTTTCCGTAGCACGCGAACAACGTACGAAAATCGGCGGCGGAGTACGTGGCGCGGCGACAGGCGCGCAAGATCTCGATGACACGATCGATGACCTCGTCGCTGGCGTTGCCGATGAGCCAGCTGAGCGACGTGGCCTTCCTGCCGAACGCGAAGGCCGGCACCTTCTTCGCCCGTGACAACGTGTCGAACTTCATCGGCTGGTGCCGCAACAGCCTCGGTATCATCGAGTGCCTGCTGTTCGAGACCGACGACCTGATCATGCGCAAGAACGAACGTCACGTGATCCTCTGCCTGCTGGAGGTGGCCAGGCGCGGCGCGAAATTCGGCATGCTGGCGCCGATGCTCGTGCAGATGGAGAGGCAGATCGACCGCGAGATCGCCGCGGAGAACAAGGCGGCGAACGGTGCACACGGGAACGGCACCGGGAACGAGGAGAGCGACGACGAGTACGCCGACATGCACCAGGAGGAGCCGTGTCTCATTTACGGGCCGCAGCCGCAGATCGTCACCAACGATCTGAAGAGCCTCGACGAAATGGTGAGTCGTTTGTTCGATTCGATTTAATACTCGAAGATGTAATTTTCTTTTTTTTTTTTTTTTTTTTTTTGTGGGGGAAGAGGAGGAGAAAATTTTGTTTCTCGGGATTAAATTTTAAATTTGCATCTGAATTCTCATGTGGATTATATTTTAAACTTGCATCTGAACGTTCATCTGGATTGGATTTTAAATTTGTTCGAAAGATTCTGGTGTTTCGTCGTTTCTAAACGCTAAATAAAGAACGTCCTGTTTAGTTCGTCAAGTTTAGTTCGTTCGAATGTTTATTTCGTCTGTTACGTCAGCCGTAGTTAGATGGTTTAGGTTAAGTTTAGGTTTAAGTTAGGTTTGGGTTAGGTTTAGGTCAGGTTTTCTCCCATTTTTTCCATTTTCTCTTTAAAGAAAACCTAACCTAAACCTAAACCTAAATCTAAACCTAAACCTAACCCTAACCCTAACCTAAATCTAAACTTAACCTAAACTTAAACCTTTTTCAAGTGTTTGACAAAAGTCTTATCACGATTCTCTATACTCTTTTTTTCTTTTTTCTTTTTTTGGAGGAAATTCTTATCTAGAGGAAGTAATTTGAAATTCGTTCTGAAGATTCTAAACGCTAAATAAAAAACGTTGCGTTCCATGAAAGATACAAATTTAATTCGTTCGAGTATTTATTTCGTCTATTACGTCAATCGTAGTTGAATGGTTTAGGTTAGGTTTAGGACAAGTTTAAGTTTAGGTTAGGTTTTCTCCCCTTCAGTTTTGCAAGTATTTGTAGCTTATTTAGACGAAAGTCTTATCACGATTCTCTATACTATAGCTAAACGATTTTTTCTTTTTTCTTTTTTTGGAGGAAATTTTTATCTGGAGGAAGTAATTTGAAATTCGTTCCAAAGATTCTAAACGCTAAATGGAAAACGTTGCATTCCATGAAAGACACAAATTTAATTCGTTCGAGTGTTTATTTCGTCTATTACGTCAATGGTAGTTGAATGGTTTAAGTTTATATGTAGTCTAGATTTAAGTTTAGGTTAGGTTTTCTCTCCTCCAGTTTTGCAAGTTTTGTAGCTTATTTAGACGAAAGTCTTATCACGATTCTCTATATTATAGCTAAACGATTTTTTTTTTCTTTTTTTGGAGAAAGTTTTTATCTGGAGGAAGTAATTTGAAATTCGTTCCGAAGATTCTAAGCGCTAAATGGAAAACGTTGCGTTCCGTGAAAAATACAAATTTAATTCGTTCGAGTGTTTATTTCGTCTATTACGTCAATGGTAGTTGAATGGTTTAAGTTAAGTTTAGATTTAGTCTATATTTAAGTTTAGGTTAGGTTTTCTCTCCTCCATTTTTACAAGTGTTACATTTGTAGCTTATTCAGACAAAAGGCTCATCATATTTCTCGTACCCTAACTAAGCGATTTAAACTACTGTCTGTTCGGACTCCGTTTTGAGTAAAAGTCTGATTCGCAAAAAA